CTCCCACGCTGCTGTGGACATGCCGTGGGTGACATGGCAAAGGTGTGCAGCCCTGCAGCCCCACTCGGAACCAACCCAGGGCCGTAATCCATCGAGGGAAGTGTGTGTGCAGCATTACAGCCCAGGGAAAAAACCCAGCATAGGGTTGGAAAACCTCCCAGGTGGTGATTCAAACCCTTCCCCACTCACTTGTCCTTCCAGTGGTGATGCCCGTAGTGACCACAGATATCCTCGATCCCCGTCAGAAGGTGATCCAAGAACTGGAAGAGAAGGTCCAAAGTGTAGGCAGCTCGCAGGGCTGTTGCCCACCCTCTCCCTGCCCCGACGCCCACGCTGACACAGGGGTGAGGACACTCAGTGGGTGCAAAATCAGGGCTGTGGGTCCAGGATGGGCCTCAGGAGGGCAGCACGGTCCTACGCAACCGGGCTGCTGCTCTACCAGGCACAGGGGAGGTTTGGGTTGGAGCGGGCACTGGACGACACAGACGGGGGAGAGCCCTCGCTCCGTCCCCCCTTACCTTGGGCACCGATTTAGGGGCAGCTCCTGCTCTGTAAACCCGCCTGGTTACAGCGGTGGAGGTGGCAGAAGCAGAGAGAGAAGAGGGCTAAGGCGGCGAAGAGAAGCGCGCCAGAAGGGCTGGCCGGGCGCAGGGGGTTACCTGCGTGTGGATCTCTTCGTTGATGGAGCGCTTTGTCTCTTGCTTCTTCTTCACGGCCAGCAGGTCCACCAAGGGTCGGATGGTCATGCCCTAGGGAAGGGGGAGAGTGGGTTAGACCCCTCCCCAAGGCACACCAGTGGGAGCAGGATGGGTTCAGCGCAGCCCAACCATGGGGCTCCGCGCTGCCGGTGTCACTTGGCAGCCTCAAGAGCTTTTGGAGAAGGGAGACGGTGACAGGGTCAGGGATGGAGGCTGGGGATGTGCTCCTCGCTCTCCAGACACACACACAGCTCACTGAATAACCCCCTTTCCCTCTGAAACCACACCGTGACCACTTGCGTGCCACCAACCTGCACGAAAACTGTGAAGAAGATGACCGTGATGATGGCCGTGAGGAACATGTCCCTCATGCCGAAATGCTTATAGTCCAGGAGGTAACAGAGGGAGAAGGCGATGGCTCCCCGCAGGCCCCCGTAGGCGATGATGAACTGGTCCTTCGGTGTAAGCTTCACGATTCGGAACTTGTTGATGAACCAGGTGAGGACCAGGACGCCTGGGGGAGTGGGGCAGGGCCTTGTGTCAGTGAATGGGGAAGGATGTCCTCCAGCCCCCAAGAGACCCACCCTCAAGCGTGGTGTCACCCCCTTGGGGCCATGGGTGCGGGTGGGTGCTGTCCTGCTCGCTCATCCTCACACCCTTCACCAGCTTCAACCCCACCTCTAGCGCAAATGTGGCCTTAACCTCACCTCCCCACAAAGCCAACCACCAGCAAGGCTGATGTCCATGGTGGAGCAGTGCCATCCAGTCAACTCCAGTCTTGCCGGCAAGGCAAACTTGGGCCTGGTGGCCCTGAGAGTTGTCCATCATCCAGGACTGTCCTCAAGGACTTTGCCACCACGCTGACACCTCACCTAAAACTCTCGCGATGAGGCAGAAGAGCAGTGTGCTGATGACGAAGGTCCAGTTCCAGTAGTGGTGGCCAGCCACGGTGGAGACACCCAAGAAGATGAAGATAAGGGTTTCACTCACACTGCTCCACATCTTGAGGAAATACTTGATGGTGGTGTGGGACTTGTGAGAGATGTTGGCTTCCACATAGGGTCGCATGACCACGCCGGAGGCGATGAGCCTAGGAACAAGGTTGGGGCATTCAGCAGCCATGAGGACACGGGGACAGTCCCAACCCCTGGCCCTGCGGCAGCGTTTTGTGCTCTTATACCAAACCCCAGAGCAGGACGGGGCTTAAGAGACACCAGCAATTTTCAAGGCCTCCAGAGAAGGCAACATAAGACTTCTCCTTCCCCCTGGCAGGGCAAGAGCCAGGAAGCACAAAACAATGTTGTCTCGAGCGCTCAGCAGGTCCTGCCTGCTACCGTGTGCCCAGGAGAATGGGCAATGGGCTGCCAACACCTGGGATCTGTGAGACAACTCAAGAGAATCACTTCCCTCATCTGCCTCCCTGCACATCCCAGCCCAAACACACCTCTAGCCCTCACTGGGCATGTACTGGTCATGCTGAGACAGCCAGAGGGCTGGGGTTACACCAGAGTAAATCCTCCAAATGGTCCTGGGGACAGGAGGGCATCTCATCCCACCCGTGCCCAACTCACGCCATGATGCCGGAGAGGTGGAAGAGCTCAGCAGAGAGATAGGCCATGTAGCTGTAGAGGAAGACGAAGAGGGGCTCGATGACTCGGATGTGGGAGGTGAAGCGGGACGTGAAGGCAGCGATCACCCCATAAATGACGCCCACGAAGACACCACCCAGCGATACCACGAAGAAGCTGAGGAAGCCGAGGATGATATCGATAATGGTCACCTGCTCGAAGTTGGCAAACTCCTCGAAGAGGTGGTAGAGGACCTGGGAGGGAGGAGGCAGAGGGGGGTTCAAACTGCCCCACTGGCAAGGGACTCACCTCAGAGGAGACCTGCTTGGGGACCTTGCCTGGGAGAGAAGCAGCAAAGGGAGCCAGGCAGGTAACCAGCATGGCACACCTGAGATGAGGTGTGCCAGTGCTTGGTGACCCTGAGCTGGGTCCTGTGCTTGACCAAGCTCCACAACAAAAAAAGCTGCTGATGCAAGATACAGACCCACAGGGACCAGCTCCCCGTCCTCCGTGGCTCACAGGGACATGGTACCATCAGAGACGTGTCTGGGGCAGCTCTGCTCTCCAACACAAACCCGACCACTGTCCTAGGAGGGGCTTTCGTCAAGGTCTGAACCACCCAAAGGCTATTCCTGCTTCCTAATGAGCAGGTCAGGACAGAGCCAGGCTTGGGGACACCTGACAGCTGCACGGAGAGAAAACCCAACATCTGCCCTGCTCAGCCCAGAGAAGAGCCCAAACCCTTAACGCAGCTTTGTAGCTAAGAGGACAACCTCGCAGGAGGAGCCCACCCTGGAGCTGCATCGCCCTCTCCCACCCCCAGACACATTTCCTGCAGAGATTTGTAAAGCTGAAGCTGACGCAGGCATGTCAGGATGGGAGACGGGCTTAGGGCACCCTGCAAGGATGGCAGTGCATGTGAGCAGGGAGAGGGTGAGGTGCCAGCTCCTGCAAGCCAGGGCCAGATCCTGGGACATGGGCAGAGACAGACATGACAGCAGAAGGCAAAAGCATTCCTGAGGAATGAGAGCAGAGACACAGACCCTCCAGGGACCCCACCCTGGTCAAAAGCGAGGAGAAACACCTGGGAAAAGCCCTATGGTGGGACAGCATGTTCCTCATCACCAGGAACCTCATCAGCAGTGCGCTGAGCAGCCAGCTCCAAAAGCGGACAGCTGGGATATGGGAGAAGAGCCAGGAAAAAGCAGTGGGTTAGAAGTAAATTTAGAGGTCAGCTCTGCAGAGGAGAACACTGCGCTGACGGCCAAACCAGCACCTGGACACAGATGTCCTTCGGAAACGGCCTGGCCCCAGAGTGGGTGGCCTGGTCCCCAAACCTCCCAAAGGTCCCTGCAAAGCTGCTGCTCAAAGATCGGGGCTGACGGTGACCCAAGTGAGATGCCAGCCTGGCACCAAGTGAGATGCCAGCCTGGCTGCAGCCCCCACGGCTCTCCCCTTGCCATGGCTGGCCATGCCCTGTCCTCACACCTTGGTGCTACAGCTGGAGGACAGCAAGGAAGACCACATGAGGAAGGAGACAGGAGGGAGCAGCTGCTGCCTGACCCAGTGGCAGGCCCCCTATTATTCCTCTACCTTTTCCCTGGCCTGAAAAAAAAACTTTCACCCAGGAGATCAGACTCCCAGGAGACCAAGGTGCCCAGCACAGTCCTGCTCTTCACCAAGAGGCGGTACCTGGCTGGGCACGTGCTCTCCGCAGCTCAGCTGGCAGGAGGCACCTGCGATGGCCCAGTCTGCGGTTCTGTCCGCAGGGCTAGACTGATAGCTGCCAATCCTGGTGCCAGCACCCCAAGATGCTCCACCAAAGAGAACCCCCTCCCCTTGGCTGATCCCCCTCATCCACTTACGACCGTGACGGCGTCGTTCAGAAGGGACTCTCCGAAGACCAAGATGTGGAGCAGCTCGTTGATGTGGATCTCCTCGAAGACGGCCAGCACGGCCACCGGGTCCACGGCCGAGATGATGCTGCCGAAAAGTAGGTTGGCCAAGAGGCCAATGTGGTTCAGGCCCGGGCCGCCCAGCTGGCACACGGCATACATCAGGCCACCCAAGAAGAAGGCATTCCAGAGCGTCCCCACCACGGCAAAGATGAGGATGGTGCCCAGGTTCTCAGTGAATTGGCGTAAAGGGAGGAAATAGCCGGCATCCAAGATGATGGGTGGGAGGAGGAAGAGGAAGAAGATGTCCGACTTGAGGATGGGAGGCTTTTCACCCACCCCTTTGATGAGCCCTCCAACCAAAAGGCCCACCACGATGAGCAGGCAGCTCTCGGGAACAATGTTGGATACTGAAGGGATCACATGGAAGCCTGGAGAGGAGGAGGAGAGAGCAAAACACACATTGGCTACATGACGGGAGGATGCTCTCTGCAGGAGGGACCAGCTCCCAGCCCTCCCTGCCCTCCTCATGATCATTTGCTATTTGTGTGCCTCAGTTTCCCCTCCTAACCCCCTTCTTCCCCATACTCCCAAGCTGTAAAGTAGAAAGGGCAGCTTCACCAGACCCACAAATGCTGGCATTGCTTGATGTCACGCCAGAAAATAACAGTGAGTCCCAGTTTGAAAGGCGGCAGCTGCCCTCTGGGCACCCCGGGGTCTCTGAGGGGACCCCCATGCCCCCGCGACAGCCGTCTGCGGCACAGGGAGTTCTCACAACACAAGCTGTCGCTGGCTCCAGCTCTTCCCATCACAGCTACTAATCCCCAGCGCACGTAGGCACTGGCATTTACCTCCCGTCAGACGGCAGCCTGCCCACCGAGTGCCATCACAGCCAGCGTGCCAGGCGCTGGCAGCAGCGCAGTGCCCGGCCCAGGTGTCCCTGATGCAGGGGACAGGGAGGGGAGCTGGTGCTTGGTGGGTATGAGGATGCAATCGGAGTGGTTCCTTATTCCCCTTCCTGCAGCTCCAGGAGCAAGCTGGGAGGCTTTACACGGCTGGTCGCAGCAACGTCTGTCTTCCCTGCTGTCACGGCTGCTCCTGGGCATGGAGCAGGGACAGGATGTAGCCCCATGGTGCGGGGCTATTCCTTGGGGTGCAAGGTAAGAGGGAACTCGTTTTCCTCTTTTTGAATCACACCATGATCCCAAATGCCGGCTCCTGAGCCAGCCGTGACCCGCTGGGATGACATCCATCCACCAAACACAGCCCTGGCAATGCGGGTATCTGCCTGCCGGGTCAGGCAGGCGGCACGATGCCAACCGAAGCAGTGCTTCAGCCAACGCACCAATACCCACAGAAGGATTTTGGGTTCCCTGGATCCTCTCCCAGGTTTTATAATTATTATTTTGAAGTGCGGCACATTTGTTCCCTGGCAAGGGAAGCGGTTTAAAATAAGGAACCCTGCCTTGGCATCCCGTGTTCCTCCGTTCCTTCCGGCTGGGTGGCTGTGCCATCTGCACATCATTTCACAACAGATTAAAAAAACACCCCCTCCCTGACAAGCCACCATCCCGCCGACAATCCAGAGTGACTCTGCTCCACGGCGAGCCCCCTTCCCAGTCCTCCCAGCACCGAGCCTGCAGGGACCACATCTGCGCCGCGGCGCCGGCTCATCCCTCCTCCACCTGTGCAGCCGAGCGGGGAATGTGCCGCACGAATCCGGCTCTGATGGGAAAAGCAGCCACTTCCACAATCCCTCCCTGAGGACGGGCAGTGAGTCAGACACTGGCCCCGGCCACGCACGGGCCCCCAAGGGCAGGATTGGACCTCAGACTGCTGCCTGAGCTGAAGGCGCTGCTCCAGCACGGCAGAGACCGGGGGAGTCATCACACCCAAGGCTGCATGTGGATCCAGCCATGCCATTTCCATAGTGTCCAGGTGGCTCTGATGGCTCTCGGGTGTCAGAGCGATGTGCGAAGGCGTCCGGTTTCTATTTTGGCTTTGCCGTAGCAGCACTGACCTCTGAGCAAAACTGCCCCGTGGCCCTCGGGTTCAGGCACGACGGGAAGTCGGGAGGAGATGGGAAGCATCCGAGCTTTCTCCCAACATCTCCCAGCATGCAGGGATCTCCTGGGCTGGATGCAGTTCCTGATTTACCCCCGTGGGATTTTTCTTCTGTCTCTGATCCCCTGCTGGAGCCCACGCAAGCGCTGAGCAACCCCAAGGTAGCCCTGGCAGGGAGCTCCCCATGGGAGGGAAGGTGATAATCCCTTTTCCCAGCAGAGCTCATACAAACACCAGGAAAAACTGGCCCTTCCAGCACACCAGGCAATTGCCTGTCCCAGCACACACCAGCCCTGGCCGGAATCAGGTTTAAGCCACACATGCAGCGAGACGACCGCAGCAAATCAGTTTTCGCTCGCCGAGTCTGTTCCATCATGAATAAAACACAAACACTGCCAATTAAGCACCTCTCACTTCTTCCCCACCGGCCCCAGGATCCCATCAAACTGGAACACGCGCGTGCTGATGTGAATTCAGTGTTTTAGAGCCTTTTTGTAGGGTCCTAAAAATACACTCACACGGGCTGCATGTTAATTACGCCTTTGATTTCACTGAATCTCAGCCATTTTTTGCTCCCCGCTTTCTCCGCTCAGTATTTTTAGAGCACTCGAAAGCTCCTCGGTACCAGCCTGTTGCTGGGATCCTGCTGGGATCCTGCACCGACTGCCGGGCCGGCATCCCGCATCGGGGTGGGGGTGATCAGTGGGAAGAAATGCTCTCGCTGCGGGGGTGATGCCAGGCAGGGGAGAACTGGCCCCATCCCAGCTCTGCACCTGAATTTCTCTCTCGGAGGAAGAGGAAGGCTGTGGTGCGATGCTGGGTGATGAGGATGCCCAGCCATGGGCACATCCAAGGGCAGTGGGAAAGGGAATAAGCCTTAATAATAACCTTAATAATAATAATAATCCTTAATAACCCCCAGGCTCCTGTTCCCGGCTGCTTTGGTAAAAGGTTATTTGCACAGCAGGTAGCCATGCTGCTCACCTGCCTGGGTACCTACTGCTGTCACCCATCTGTCCCCAAATGGGGCGGCCCTACTGCAAACTGGGAATCATCTACCTGCTGCAAACACCTCCTCTGCCACCAGTGCAAACCCGGGATGAGCCAGGAGGCAGTGGAGCACAGCAACCCCCCCCCCAGTCCTCCTTCATTTTCCTCTGTTAAGCAGCAAGTGGTTTTTGCTGCAGCAGATGGGCAGGAGTCGGTATCCCAGAGTTTCCCCTACCGAGAGGGCTCCGTGTGACCCCTGTCGGCTGCAGAACTGCTTCCCTAAGGAGCGAGGAGCAGTAACGGAAAGGCAGCACCTGCACCAGGCGTACGAGGCTCCTGGCGTACGAGGCTCCCAGCACGCCGCTGCCAGCACAGCCTGAATAAACAAGGGATGCGGGAACAGGGGGGGATGAGGCAGCCCAGTCCCCGGCACATCCGTGTCCGGAGGACGAGCAGGGATGCACAGGAGCGGGCAGGTGAGCATGCAGAGCCATTTTTCCCACGAAGAAGCATCCATTGGGTTTCAGCTGGTTTTCCTGAACCCCAGCAGAAGGGAAGTCCCTTGAGACCCCATTTCCCTGAGAGTGACCTATGATCCCCAAAATCACCAGCACAGGGCACACACAGTCACCTGGGTTTCCTCCTTAGGAAAACAAACTCCATGGGAGCGGTTCCCCGGCTATCAATGGCATCAAACACCAACGAAACTATTAAAAGCAAGAGCAGTTGAGTAAACATCAACTCCGAGAGCTTGAGCAAACAAGGAAAAGGAAATCCAGAAGTTAATAGTTCCTATTAAAAGGGTTTCTCCTCCACATCATGCACCCTGGCTTGCGTGTGCCCGGCAAGGTGAACATGGGGACTGCTCTCCACTGGTGGTCAGCTCTTCCTTGGGTTACGGCAGAAAGGAGCTGGGAACTGGCCTTCCTGTTTTAACCACAGTCTAAGCACTTGAAGGACAGGAGGAAATCACAGTTCTTCACATTAAAGAGATTTTGGGCACAGAAAGCTGTTGCAAGGCAATGCCAGTGCTGCAACAGAGTTTGCTCTGCAGCTTCTGAACACCAGTTGTCTTCGTTTCAGCGGCAGCAGGTCTGCACGGGGCCATTTCTGCCCAAGGGCAGGCAATCACGGGCAACATCGGGAACCTTCCTCCACTATCGCCAGCAGTGGCAAGAACCACCCGACTTTGTGGGATCCAGCGGCGAGGCAGATTGTTTTTCCCCTAGGTACATAAAGCAGGCTGGTACTTTGGAGGTTGTGGAAGCTGAATGAAGACTCCTGAGCACGGCCCCAGCGTGATGAGCCACCCTCAGTCTCCAGACGTCGCAAGGGCCAGTCCTCACCCCAGCAAATGCAAGAGCTCCCATTTCAGCTGCTCAAGGTTCATCCCCATCCTACCAAGGGGGACTCGGGCTGCTTTCCCCAAGCCCTGGCTGCAGGTGGATGCAGTGCCATGTAAATATTTACTCCCAACCAAACAGGCTGGGAGAGACTCCGACCTACGTGTGGTTTTTTCCCTTCCTCGGCTGTATCTGGGTTACCGCAGCCCCGGCACACGGGCCAGATGCTGTGCCTCGTATTATATAAGCTCCATTCAGCAGCACCTGCTCCTTTGCTGCCTAATGACTCAAAAAGCACCATATCTGATCTTTCTCCATCCTCAGCCAGGCCAGGAAGAGCCTGAGGCGATACGGAGTGAAGGGACAGGGAGGGAAAGGTGCTGGGCACCCAACCCAGACCCAGCATCCTCGCGCCGGGTGGACACCGCTGTCAAAACGAGCCAGGTCCCACCCGAGCATTTGCCTGATGTGATGCTTCTTCCACTGTGCCTAAAATAGAGGCGATCTCCATGCCCCGAGCTGCTCACAGCAATTTGGAAACCCGCTTTCAAGGCCAGAAGGGGAAAATTCGTAGCTCTCAAACCAACAGCAGCTCTCGAGGTGCTGGGAACCTACTGGAAAAGGGAGCAGGGAGCATCCCCCTTCGCTCAGCTCAGCCTCAGCCCCCAGCAGAAAGCCCCAAGGACCAGAGGCGCTGTGTCCTACAGCATCTATAAGGTCCCCTCCCTCCCCGCCTGACGGTATTTCCCTGTCCCACCCACGCAGGGCACGACTCCTCTCCCTTCCCATCACCCCAGGCATTGCGATACAGCTCCATATGGCATGGGACTCGAGGTCAGGCTTAGTCAGAGCTCTGGCAGCGCTCTCCTAATTTTAAAGATCTCTCTCAAAGCAGCGTGGAAAGAACATTTTAATCAAACTCTTCCAAAGAACAGTTATGATGAAAGAAAGGAGGCAAAGCCTTCATGTGCTACCCTGCTCCAGGCCAGGTCTCCACCCTGGCTCCCAGTGCATGGATATTGCTGGAGTCGGAGTTGTAAGAGCCCCTGTGATCCCCACGGCCCTGAAAAATACTGGTGTTGAGAGGCGATAAATAAAAAACAAAATAAAATTTAAAAAATATTCATATATAGATCTAAAAAATAAATATATATATATATATAATGCTGATGCTAGAGGCAGTCCGCACCGCGAGACAGCGTGCCAGCCCTGGGGACTGTGGGCTCCCCCGGCCCCCAGAGCCACCGTGGACTCATCCATGAGCCAGTCCCCGCAGCCATGAGCTGTCAGGTCCTCCTAGAGCTGCAGGTTGAATTTGGCTGGGATTAACGTTCCCTCCTTTCACAGGAGGAAAAGAAACATGAAGGAGGAGGGAAGAAAACCCAGTTGGTTGGTGTTTGAGTTGGAGCCAGGTAAACGAGGGGAGGAAGGAGAGAAGGGAGCATGCGGCATGGCTGGAAGGGCTCGGCACGTTCATGGTTAAGCGGGATGCTCCTGCGGCTTCACCAGGAAGATGCCTGTTAGCTAAAAAGAGGTAGAAGAAATGAGAACGGTTACAAAAACATCCCATCCTCCCAGGCTTCAGAAGTTTATTAGAGCAGCTGCAGGCTCCGGCAGGCAGGCGACAGCCCCCAGAGAGAAATTACACAATTAATAACCAGGGATTAGACAGATCTTCCATCCCCTGGATGATTTTTTTTCGGAAAGGAGGTAGATGAGGGGTTAGTCTGGGTGAGGGGGTGGTGAAGTGCCCCCTGGGTGATGCTCACTGCAGCCCCAGGGACCCGTGGATGCTTGTTTGGGCTGCAGGGTGGGACCAAGCGGCCGTGTGGCTGGGGTGTGGAACGAGCTGCGGTGCTGGAAAAGCCCTGGGAGAAGGCACGGAGGCCGGGAAGGAGGTGGCGAGGGGAAGCAGGCATGCTCAGAAGGGCTGCCCTTCTGAAGGACACTGCAGAGAGCATCGGCTGAAGGAGACACACATGTCTCAGCAGCACCAGGGCCCCTCCAAAGGCCACTTTAACCCTTTAGGACACCAGGCTGGCAGGGTATGGGTGGGCCACACTGAGACACAGCAGCCCTGCGCCATCACCAAATCCATCAACCCAGCGACAAGGGATGCAGGAAGATGAGGACAGCTTCCCACGCTCCTGTGGGATGTGGGGACCACAGAGAGCCCTGACACACAGATGCTTTGCTGGATGAGCCACAAAATCACTGATGTGTCACCATCCATGGCAAATGGTCATCTGCAAAGCCATTACCCAGCACCGTCCCCTTTTTTCTCTGCTTAGAAGCAGCAGTGGGGCAGGGAGGAGGGCTGAGGCTGGGCTCCAGGGTCTGCAAAGCACTGAGACCACCCTGACCCAATGTTCACGCTCTGGATTTTGGGGTGGTAGAAGGTTGATGATGTTGGGCTAAGCCCCCAGAAGGACTTAGTTCCTTAGAAGGAACAGAACGTTTTGCAACCGGCTCCTGGGGGAAAACTCATCTCAAGCTCCCAGATTTTGGCTGCAGCTTCTCTCCATTTATCCCCTTTTCTTCCAAAAAAGGCACTAGATTTCCCTCTTCCCCTGCCTGACCATCAGCCACTGCTGCAGTTGCTCAAAGGTTTGCTGATTTCGCTGGTGGCCTCCAGCACAGCCCTGGTGGGATGTCTCATAGCTGCCAGGAGCGTGTCTCAGCCCCGCTGTGAAGCCTCCTTAGTAAAATGGAGCTGGATCCATCGACCTGCCTGCAAAGACAGGGAATGGGGAGCCTGGGGAAGGGCATGGAAAGAGAGCTGCATGCGCCCGGCACCGGTGCGGGTCTCAGATGTAACGGGGAAGTCTCGAGGGAAGGGGATGAAAATTGAACTTGCTAGAAAGGAATTAAATAGCTGGTGATTTACACCTAAAAATAGAGCGAGGCCACGGCTCGTGTCACCCTGCAAGGGGAGGTGGTAAACCCATGATACTTAAATTACAGCCGTCACGTCTCGCAAGCTCCGACGTCACCACCCGCCCTGAACCTCCAGCCCCACCGAGCAGCAGCACGGCCCGCTCCGGCAGCTGCCCCGCCGGGATGGCACCTACGGGGCCCCGCTCACAGCTTTGGCTTTGCCAAACCCTTTTCTGCTTCACCATGGAGCAGGCAGGGTTTTACTGCAGGTCCAGGCCTCCCAAGTGCTCTCCTGCAGCTCTCTTCGGGCTGGTTTCAGCAATTTGGGTTGGTTGGGGTAACCTTTAAGGGAAGCATCCAACAGTCTCAATGTCCGGAATGGAAAAGCTTTGATTTTCCATCCCAAAATGACATTTCCTGGTTAGAAGTGGACTGTGTTTTGTTTTTTTTCTTTAAAGGTACAGGTACAGAAAGAGCTCCTAAGCAAAACAATTTCCTCCAGATCAACCCAAATGTTTCCTTCAAGTCTCATTATTTCCTTTTCGCTAATTACGAAGAAAAGCCAAGAACTGGGGAGGTAATTAATTTATATTGCTTTTTGTGACTCACTGAGTTAATGCAGATACCACACAGGGGCCACGCAGCCGGCACCCACCCAAACCTCGCCGTGGGCTCAAGAGCAGGGAGAGAAGAGAAAAGCAAGACATCCAGCCTTAATTTTGGGAAATCACTCTTCTGCACCCCAGCCAGCCGCGGGCAGGGGGCTGGGACCAGCCTGGGATGCTCAGGACTCAGTTTAAAATCCACGACCACCCAGCGCTGCCTCGCAGCTTCCAGATATTTTCAGCTTGCACAGAGTGAGGCTGGACTACAACCATTTTTGTTGGCTTTAAGCTGGGCACATCTACACGGGGTGCAGGCAGGGAGGGAGACGAAGCCCTGTGCCACACCGCAGAGCTCTGCCAGCTCAGACCCGCTGTGGCTACGTCGAGGCCATCGTTGCTTGCCACGCTGTGCCCAGGCTGGGTCCCTGCAGGGTCCCTCTACCCCAACAGGTGCCCAGCACAGCCCGGCTGGGATCGTGACCAACTCCCAGACCTCAGTTCCGAGCGGGATCGCACACAATGCCCCTCCGAGTCATGTCGCCGCGGTCAAT